TGTTCCTTAAAACGAAGACATTAACATACATATGATGGAATATTTAGTTATGTGCCCAGGAATGTTCTCGAAAATCTGATCTTTCCCCCACATGAGTTATCACATGGTGTTAATTATGGCATGCTGCCCTCTTTCCCAAATTGATGAAACAGCGTCACTAAACCTATAGCTGCCACGATAGCCGAAAATCTGAAATCGTGGATCCTCCCTGTTTATTACGAACAGAGAGGGACCTGAGTGTGTCCTCTTTAACGAGAGAAAGTACTTACTTTATCGTAAATATAGGGATTTGTATGAGGAAATGTAACGCTTATAAAACAAATTTAATTGGAGACAACCTCGCCCACTGCATTGGGGTGTTGCTTGCAAATATATTCGCAGCAAAAAATAGTATTAGTTAGGTGCTGCTTATGACAGTCGTAAAACGTTGAGCAAACCACTATCTGATAGCAAGTACGCGAAGTTATTCTGCATCTCACTTGCCAAATCTTCCCTTCGTTTAGGCATCTTGCAAAGTCGTCGGAATGGAAAGGATCGGCTATTCCACCATCGCACACATACTCGGCGAGTGAAACATATCCCCCTAGCTGTCGTCGTTTTCGATTTTTTCTACCTGTTTTAAAAGTGCATAGATAGTAAAGAATTTGCCGTCTTTCCATTAAGTGAGAAGGTGTGGTGGGAGGTTGTTTTCCCTAGAACTCAGATTATACCAGTTTCAAAGCCATGGAGCAATTACGTTGGGGAGAGACCCTAGACAGACAGTTATTATAGGAATTATCTTAACAAGCAAACTTTCTCACCGTTTGTTTGAATCTTGGACACTGTCATGGTATCCTCCAACTCTTTCACGTAATATATAGGGTATTCTGCACAGAAAGCTGCCATCTCATCGCTCAGAATTGATCGATCGGTCAACTTTTGGCCGGCTGTCCATTTGTTTGCGATGATTATCTTCTTGCTGATAATTCTCTACAAAATGGAGCATAAGAATGGAGAAAGGCTCTTGTGTAGTTGTGTGATGAGTGGTTACTGGGTTACTTGTTAAAAACAAAGATATGAAATAATTATTATAAAAACCCTTAACATGACATTACGTGATATTACGTATCAATTCTAACGATGTAGTTGCTGTGATAAGCAAAATTATTATAAAAATATGGGATTAAGAACAAAAGGACTTAAAATAAAAACCAACCTCTGGACTGAATGTCTGCAGTGCTAAAATATTTTTGCTTCTCAGCCTTGGCTTCCTAAGACTCCTGATACTATCAGCTACAATCGGTACAGATTTAAGCTACATTGCTAATTGAAAATACGATCTCATGCATGAGAAACGGTGAATTTCTCTCTATTCAAAATTGTACTTCTTATTAAAACAGTGTCTATCGAATTCGAAATATGAGCAACGCCACAACGGCGCCGAAAACACAGCTTACTAAAAGCCGGCCTACGAGCGACACTCACTTAGAAATGTAAAAAGGAAAGAGCTACTGTTGGTTCACATATTACTGCTTATCTTGGGGGTAACAAATGAAAAAAAAGCTTTAGCTGTTTATGATATAATAAATTTGTAGTAAGTGATAAATATTCTCTTTCTCCACGGCTTGTGAACTTATATTGCAGTTGTATGGAAACATTATAATTACACAACGCTTAACGGCCATTTTTTTTTTGGAATATTAATTAGCCAGCAGCAAAATAATTTGCGTTATTATCGCCAGCGTCTGATATTCGGAGATGTCTACAATAGTTTACGATAAAGAAATCTGTATCAGGCTGTATGTTAAAGAATCGTACAAATACTACCAATCCAGAATTGAGGAAGGAGAAAAAAAGGGAAAATGACCTTTGCAAAAGAGGAGAAAAGAAGGATGGGAGAGGCAGCTGAAACTGTTGTGCCCTGAAAAGCTGGGTAGGAATTCTCTTTCAGAAAATTTCCAACCTGGTACCCTCTCAAAACTAAAATGGTACTTTCCTTAAATAGACGTATAGGCATGAACAACTGGGCCTGAAGTTAATCACTCCCGATTGATAGAGTCACGACATATGTGTGACTTAAAAGCCTCTAGAAGAAACTTTGTGTTTTGCAAACTATAAACATTGATGTTGCCTTTCAGATGAATTTTTGCGTGATAAACCAAGCTTTAGATAACATTCTCCAGTGTTTTGGTCTAACAAGGAAAGGAGACATTCTCAGTGTCCGGGGGTACTGTGAACGAAAATTGAGAGTACTTTCAGCTTTGTATGTTTAATGGCAAGTGCCTTTACCGTCCGAACCTGTTGCAGTGGTCGACAAAAAAATGCTTTACATGGCTAAAAACGAAGATATGCCTAATCTTTTGGAAGAAGACCCGGAGATAAATTTTATGGGTTTTGGTAGTAATGCAGACAGATTCAATGAAACCATACCCCTAGACTCCACAATGTCGCAACCTTCATCTTTCCTCGCTTTCCCTCCAGTTCCTGACCTCCCACCAGAACAGTTGGTGGAAGGCGACGATCTAGCGCAAGTATGTTGACTTTTCACGGTTACCCGTTTGGAGTCGTCACGTACTCCATGTCTACACGTTAAAAAAATAAGCTGGCATAAAAGAATAGAACGAATTTCTCCCTCATGGAAGTTTGGTCTTGCCACACGGCTGCGTGTGAAGGTCAAACGTCATCGTTCCTGCCTGCAAGTACGGGCCTATGTTATGAGAGTTGCTTTCATTTCAATGTTCCGTCATCACCAGTCCCTTTCATTGTTACAAGGAAAACGATGGAGCCAATCCTTTCAGAAATTCAAAGCGGAAAAGAAAAAATAACAACGTGAGTAGACATTGTCTGACTGCGGGGTTTTGTCTGCAGTTTTCTGAGATGCCCTGGATGTTTAATAGGAACACCGTAATGATTTCTCTGTCTCTTTGTGCAGGATCCTGGGCGTAAGTTTCGTATGATGGTCAACTCAGGCACTATTTCTGCTGATAGTGATGGAGGTGAGGTGATTAGAAACCGCAATTCATTTTACCTTTACTTTCAATCATCTTCCTCTATTTTATACTTATTTGGCAGTGATAATGATAGTCGTGGAAGTAATGATAATGATAATAATACCGTTTCGAACTCTTGTACAAATTTTAGTCCTGACTATTCTTATAAAGAACACATATTATAGCACAATAATGACCTTTTTCTCCAATCTTCCTGCAGATATTTCCTCCCTGAAATGACACTGTGGTTGGTACTTAGTTCAGATTTACTTTCTGGTTATCTCACAGGAAACCCAAGAAGATAACATTGACAGTCAAACTGAGGAGAATCCTACAGCTGTTCCCTCTGAAGTG